AAAGCAAGATACATAGACTTTTGGCGGTAATTCCCTTCCATACAATACGTGGACCATAAGCATGTGTTTCTGCTTACTTGTGACTGATTGTAGTCTCAAAGCAAAATATTGTTAAATGTTATCTCCGCCTTTAGTTTTTTCAGTTTCAAAAATCGGCTATTTTGATACATGTAACCCACAGGGGTTCTACTTGACACCTGTTATGGATTTATAAGGAATATAAAATCTATCATGGGAAAAATAGACAATAGATCTGATGGTACGCGTGTAGCACAGCTCTGTAGTACGCAGATTTTTTTCGGAGCATCCCCCCCCCCCCTCCCCACCTTAAAACCGTTGCTAAAGATCTCTATCAAACGGTATTTGGATTGTTGAAATACTAAAATTTTGCGAGCCTTGATGCACAAAACTAATGCCGGTGAAAGCTAGAACTAGTCGTTGAATGACTTTTTGTATTCAAGTTGTTAATTCGCATGCATCTATCTATATACTGCAAGTTCTTCCTACTTTTTTAAATACTTGTGCCACAGAATCAATGTTTAGTTTGTATATAAAAGTATATGTAAAAGAGAGGAATTCGGATCCGCAATGAATAATTAAATACGATATGCGGATTTATAACCCGATTTGCCAATGAATGGCATATTCTATTTCGAATAGGGCGCAATATTCTACGGGCAAGTTGCCCAAGGGGCGAACTCGCGCATGCGTAGCCTGTCGTTTGCCCATGGCATCCGGTTTAACCTCGCTTATATATTTATAGCTGCAGATCTGTAGCTCTCAGAAAAAAAACATTGATAGACCGGAGAGCTACAGAGCCACACATTGAAAAAAAACTGTATATTTATTGCGCACAAAAAAGTGCGCTCGGTTCTCGATTTATTTCTCCATTTTTTTTTAATGTTTTTCAAAATATTACTAACCGTGTGTTCCTAACATATTCTTTGACTCTTTCCACTACAAAACATTCCTCATAATTGTTGTTAATAGTCCTCCTGGCCCTGATATTGCACTCATCGGACATTTCGCTTATTTATACTGCCATTTTGGTTTCAAAGATAATTCGGTCCAATATGCTTCGTTTAGATGTCAACTACGAGAGAACTTGATAGAGGAGAGAGTAATTTTTTGAAATCTTCCATTTTTTGCAATTGAGGTAAGAATTTGGAAAAATTAATCAAGAATCGAGCGCACTTTTTTGTGCGCAATAAATATACAGTTATTTCAATGGGCGACACTGTAGCTCTCCGGTCTATCAATAATTTTTTTTTTGGAGAGCTACAGATCTGCAGCTAATATATTTACTCCGCAGCTGCGTGGACCTCAGGGTCCACGCAAATATCAAGTAAAATACATATATTATGAACATCATATCTAGTGTACCAAGTCAACAGCTAATATAATTAAAGTTTATTGATAGATAATTAATTCATTAGTTCTCAATTCATTTCTCTCCATCCTAATTCATTTCTCTCCATCCTAATTGTCCTCGATTATTGGTCAACTGTTTTAAGCTGATTGGTTGATGGACAGAGTAAATCAAATAAGACGAAACACTCGTTATAGATTTTCATTTATGTACTACACTAGTATTTGTTCCGAAACGAAACTTTAAAGCTGGCATCTTTGACTTACAGTATTCAGGTCGCTGCTGAAATAACAGGTTGTCATTGAAATAGTTTAAAGTAAATCCTACAAATTATTATTAGATTATTTTCCTGGGTTTTCCCCAAACATGATGGAATATCTCTCAGCTTCTCTCTCTCATCGAGGGAAATACGTGTGTCTGCTATAATTTTCAATATAATTATGCTCATAATAATTTAACGAGAGTTTTTATTTCAAGAAAGTCATACTTACTCTGGCACATACTGTAGACTTCTTCTTTGATTTTAAATTTTTATTCTATTTCACCCGTCAGGGACGGAGCACGTTTTTTTTTTACACGGGGGGGGGGGGGTATTCAACTTACCTGATAAAAAAACTTAAAAGTAAATAATTGAAACTTGGAAGGGCATTGAACTTCTTTTAGTACCTTTTTTTTTCGTATAAATACTATATTACCTTTATTTGGCTGTGGTACACCAAAACGGAGGGGGGGGGGGGGGGGCAACCGGTCTATAAATGATAATTTTCAACAAAAAAAGTTTTTACGAAAACCCCCTGATGCTACGTGTCTGTCCGTAGCATCTAACTACAGCAAAGCATGCACAGCTTTATAAGTTATATAACTTCTCGTTCTCGACTTCGTTTGCAAAAGATTCGGCAGTAAGAAAGACAGTATGTTGAAATAATAATGTACCGTTTTGTTTACTGTTTCAGGATTTTATTTAGTTCAGAAATTGAAAAAGAACATGTAAATTTCTCATATGGCGCTGCATAACTTCAAATCATTAGGTATTTATGTACATATATATCGAAACTGATCTGTTGATGTCTGACCCGTTGCTGAAATCATTTGCTGTCGTTACATGTACGCACAGCATTTTTAAACAAATGAATGTCCCCATATTTGTTAACAGTACTTGTCAAGGCCTGAATGAAGCAATTCCATTGGGAGGGGGTGCACATTTTTTCACCACTAAAAATTTCTTTACAAAACACCAGCATCTAGTTTCTTTGATTTTCTATAATACTAAGTATATACTATATATCCAAACTGAGAGTACATTCAACAAAAGGAAGAAGATATCACCAAAATTAATGGGGACACGTCCCCTCGCTGCATTTCATTTCCAAAATCTGCATAGCATTCCGAAATTTTATTTCCGACATTTTCTTTATACTATTTCCGGAATTTACCTGTACATGTGCGGCAATTCAATGTTTTCCAAGAAATTGAAAATGGAATTTTAAAAGTATATTTATTGCAAAATATTGATAAAAAATATAAAAATCCATCTGCACATATACGTAAACATGTAGTACAAAGTCTAGGTAAAAGAGTTCAATTCAAGCATACTCTTTCGCCATATTTTATATGCACTAAATTAAAAGTCAGGGAAATTTTATCATACAGTTGCTTCATTAGTAGATTTTAAAATCTCAGAAATTGGATTTCAGTGATTTATTTATGATTTAATTCCTTTAATTTTCTCATATGTTAAGTCTTCAATTATGCTACTAAAAGTTCTATCTAAAAATGGGCAATATTTATCTTATTCATTATGTGTATAGAAGATTTTTTTAATATGGAATATTTATCTGAAAGTTCACAACACTAACAATATTGTATGTGCCTCAGAAAGAGAGAGATCCATTTATTTGGATGTCGGTGATTTATTCGCAGTTCATGATTTCTTCCCCGTTTAAAAGTTTTCATAGATTGGGCCTTCAATCCTGTTTTATTGCCGAAAAGTGCAGTGATCTACCTGAAAATGTCCGAGATTTTAAACGCTGTCTTGATCCATTAAATTTTTCTTCCAGTAAGCGTCATAGATAAGCCCCCCCCCCCCCCCCACCCACACACCACATGATTTGTTTCAAAGTCGGCAAAAAATAAAATAAAATTTAAATAATACAAAATTGATTAAAAAAATATTTCTGTCAATACGGAGGTAGGGGTTATATGCCACGCAGTATTTATAAGAGAAAAAAAAGAATTGTCTCATCCCCTCCTTTTATCAAAATATTATATGAATGATGAATACAAAAGAAAGATACAAGAATTATTTTCAACGCCTTATTAGCCTTTATTATGTTCTTGCAGATCTATAGACATATTGCTTTTCACTTTATTCTGTCCCGGAGTGATAGGCCTACGTCACAATAGATCGAAAACTTGAGATGTGCACACTAAAACTGCACCTCTTAGCTGAGGTGAAACAAGTGCGCGGATCCTGGATCTTGCAATTTTTAAAGCCTGTTTTTTGTACTAAACACTTTTCACTTTCATTTCCTCTTGTGATATTTGGTTGTCCAAGTAAAGGAAAACGTTCAGCTAAAAAAATAATGTTTAAATGATGTACCTTATTGACAGAATACCTTATATTACGTACAATGCCTATACGCCATTTTGATACAGAGAGAAAGTTCGGGAAAACAGTGTACCTGTGACGTCGTACTTCGAAAAATGACGTCGAACAGGAGTTGTTTGCAGTGCATTGGCAGTGTTGACATCGCCGCGTTTCACTGGCTATTTGTTGGATTTAATCGTTCTTACGACTATATATTTTCAGTTATCGTGATGAATATGCATTGGTATGTATTTTCGTTCTCTTGCTCCGTGATTTATTTTCTTCGGGAGATCGGCATGTGCACATGGTGTAGGGACCCGGGTCTAGTCTTCATTCATGGATACTTGGAATGAAATACTTAGGATTTAAGCGCATCGTGATAGTAAATAACACTTCTACAGTGTTAATTACCGTTTATTACGTACATCGCGTGGACTGATTAACAACACAGACCGAATACACATTGAATATGGATTTACTACAGGATTTTTAACTAACGCAACTGGCGCATGCCCAAAGGGGTTAGTCGACACCCGGCGGCGACTAACCCCTTTGGGCATGCGCCAACTAACCCAGTAAAAAAATCATCTAACCCCTGCCAGTACATGCAACCTTGTTTACACCAATAAATAAACAAACACAACAATGAATAAACAAACAAATAACAAACAAATAAACAGATAAGAAGAAATAATTAACAGAAAATAGAGTAACTTATTTAATGAGTTTATAAACAAAATCTTTACCCAAATACTCACAAAATATGCAGAGATCTAAGGCAACATTTTTTTCTACTGAGCTAAAAATACATGTAAGGAGACTTAGTAGCTTATTTTTTTTAATTCTTTAAATTCCGAATGAAATAATTATTCCGAGCTGAAATAATACCCTGTTATATATTGAGAACATTTACTAAAGTAATGATTAGAGACACTCTAATTTAATCATAGGGTATATGCAAACCGCCTATCTGCTAACCTCTAAACCACCACTGGGATATGTTTGATTTCTGTAAAGATTCTTCAGACCTTTAAGCTGATACACCTATCTGTCAAAGTCAGGTCGAAGGTCAAAGAAGACGCATCCAGCCAGTCTCTGCATGACTCCACACTGTAACAAGGTGTGGGCCCCCACTGCTGACTCTGTCTGTAATAAACAGTCACTGTATTCATATATGTCAGAGCCCTTAAATTTCATATCAATATTGCAAATCAATGGAATACTGCTAAATCGAAATTTTTGAATGAGTTACAGATTAATGTTTCGTTAGAAGCATGATCGATGACAAATGTGGGGGTAGAATAAGATAGTAATGGAAGACCTACAAGTTTAGACAAGTAGATGTACAGCACTCTGAGTTGGGGGGTGGGGGACACAAGGGTCTGTAGCGGCTGGTCGTCATGGAGAAGGCTGTCCACCAGGTGTTGGAGGTAACCTTTAGAGGACAGAAAGGTCATCCACTGCTGGAACTTATCCATAGACAGAATGGTGTCCAGTACTGATAGAGCCAGCATCTACAACAGACAAATATAACAGATACAGCCAGCATCTACAACAGACATTATATTAATATAGGTCATGCGCTGCTGGAACCTGTTCACAATGAAACCTTGGGACATAAATATAGTACACAAAGATATCAGGATTCACTCCTTACCCTTCCTACATCATGTCCATCACACGCGTCACGACACACCATGTCAATAAAGTTGTCTCCAACAGAATGGTAGCCACGTTTTCCTATCTCAGCTGTTCATAATCGGAGTGGGCGTCGGCCAAAATCCTCTTCCCAACCCCATCACCTCCTGCCTCTGTCAGAAAAAGGAAACATCATTAACAGCCTTTGTCATACATGTACTAGTTTAGGTTTTTATTTCATATAACATTGGAAGAGTTTAAATGTATTCTATAAAATACATAATATACAATTTTGATCTATGTATGCCAGGCACAAAGTAAGAGCAAAATCTGTGCAGTTTTGTTGACATTCAGGTGTTGACATCTTAGTACTATGAATTATATTCTTAAACAAGACACGTGTGATTTCTACTTAGACATACCTGACTGTGTATGATGTGAGTCAGAGACTTGGGTTTCTGAGCGATTTTTAGATAAGACAGCAGGGCCCCATATAAGTTGGCTCTTACTCTCTGCTGGCCACCACCTAAACAGAATTAGAAATTGATTTTTATGAACATGCACTTGAAAAAATTTCTTTTCAGGGAAAAAGTATGCAAATGTACTATTCATACATTTCAATATATTCTTACTTGAAAGCAGAATGTGATCTATCACTCCTCTGAGCACCAGTTGAAGGGAGGAAGCAAATTGGGTTCATGACCCTGACAATTGACCCCATGACCCTGTTTGACCTTGACCTGCTGTGGAGTCCAGCATGGTGAGGAAGTGTGAGGTTTCATCGTCAGAGACAGAATCTTGACAGAAACACTGACGTAGATTTGTCATCTGAGTCAGGATGATCCCAGCCACAGGGGCAGTTAACTCTGTCAAGGCATCATCTTCCGTCACCTAAAAATAATGAGTAGATTGATGTTAAATGTAGTATCAAGCGATGCAATACAACAACCTTTTTTCTCTGTAAAATTAAAATTTCCCCTCCCTTTTCCCCAAATGAAAGCAATTGTCAAGTACATTTGTACACACAGCACAGTTAAGGTTACAAACCCAAGTCAAAATGAACTGCTTATTTTTCAGCAGTTTATAAACAGTTATTAGGCAGTCTGGCAACTTTTTGGCAGTTTTTAGGCAGTTCTTAACAGTCTCAGTCTTAGCATTCCTTAAAACTGCTTACAGACAGTGCTTAAAAACTGCTAAGAATTTGTGTAAGCAGTTCAGTATTGAAAAAACTTAAGCAGTCAAACAAGCAGTTTCTCAAAACTGCTAAAAAACTGCTAAAAGTGCAACTTATTCATTTCGACTTCTTATAAGAAGTAATACAACACTTTTTCACTCTTGGTGGTCCTAACTTTCACTAGCCTTCATTACTGCCCATGTGTTACTGTTAATGCTTCCTGATGATAACGTCACAAATAATTGGGGCCAGACAGGAGTTCTTATACAGAAAATAAAGTTAAATAGAAAAAAAATATACTAAAAATCTTACTAGAAATGATACAATAGTTTGTAATAAATTGAGGCTTCATATTATAAAAAGCATGAGCATATGAGCTTCTAATCTTTATCCCATCAACTTGCAAATCCAGCCGTCTAGTTACATTAACAACCTGCTGTGTCCCCCTTGGTTGCTTGAAACTATAGGGTTGTATCCAATGAGGAAAGCCAGTCAAGATTTGTGCGCCTTTTCCACATCAGTTCAAAATTACAAATTGTGAAGATGTTTGTGATGGTCTGGGATATTATATATATATTTATACCTATACAGTGAAAAGTAAAATATGTTTTGGAAAATACAATATTATCTGTGATCACCACATTGGACTGGATGTGAACTTTATATTTATATAGTGACAAGTGTATCTGAATTTATTTCCATGAGATGGGAGATCATTATTATAAAAATCTGATCAAACAGTTGGAATTGGGTGATATAGGAAAATTGCTAAAAGATTTGTTGGCAGTAATTAAAGTATGCTTCAGAAAATATGGTAAGTGTGTGGGCTTGTGATATAATAGGCATACCCTCTTCTCATTTGGATAACTATTAAATTATAAAACGTATAATCTAGTTTTTATATTTTAATAAGTACTAAATTGAAATAAATTAAAATATTTGCAAATAAATTTATAAGCTACTGATAAAGGGATCCATAGATTAGTCCACTGTATCAATTACCCAAGCTCTAAAGATGCCACTGACGTTTATGCAAGAAAATGGACTTAATGAAAGGACTCATTTACAATTCATACCTTAGATCTAAATCTCAATACTAAGTCAAATTCCCATATATGATGTCATTTTTTCAATAAATTACCCTGCTGGAAGCAAAAATTATAATTATGCATTTTTGTATTCATATATCATGTATATGGGTGGTGTTATGTTTTTAAAATAGACAAGAATAGTGCTTATAGCATTCTTTTTACCATGCAGTTTTTAAGCAGTTAATAAATTTTCAAATTTATATGTAGGTCACTCAGAGTCATTTCCATATAAGTAGAGCAAACAAATGAAATACCTTAGCAGTTATTAAGCAGTTTTTAAGCAGTTCTCCTTAACCTTCCTATTGACTGCTTAGATACTGCTAAGGAAACTGCTAAGCAACTGTTAAGTTACTGCTAATGAACTGGCTAAGTACTGCTTAAACTGTGGACTGCTAAGCCGTAAGGAAAACTGCTTAAGGAGAGAAGAACTGCTAAAGCACTGAACTGTTAAGGTTAAAAAACTGCTAAAGAACTGCCTTCCACTTTGACTTGGGAATGGAGATATCGGTGATTTTTTAAGATAAAAAATACATACTTTATTAGGATGGGTGAATCTTTTTAGGAATTCACTGATATCAAAAAAATGTAATGTGGTTAAAAATGTTGGGGACATTTAGATTTTTTATTTAGACTTGTCATTTGATGTCGACGTCACATGACTTTGGCAATTATACTTGCAGTTTAGAGGTCATTTATAAATTTCAATATTGCAAGGGCATAACCAAGCTAAAAATCTTAGTTTATTTTATAATCCTTTTCAACACTATATGTAGTTTGTGAAAAGTGCTGCGAACCTATATAGATTCCCTTTTTTAATTGGTAAAATTTAATTTGTTGGACGGCAGGATTAATATATTGCTGGTCAACTACATTAAATACAGCTATAATTAATTTATTTGCAAGATTTCAAGAGGTTCGCAGCACTTTTCAAATATCTTAATGCTTCTTGAGTTTATGTGTAAAATTTTGACAAGATACATTGAGGGTATGCCCTTGCAATGAATTGATTTATTAGGGCCCTTCGATTACTTTTTCAATGAATCTGCATACAAACACACGATAGTATCGCTTGTCTGATAAATGCAGGTACAGTTTATGAATAAAATACTAAAATAAACATCGCATCCAAATTAATGGCTTTTTATTTTACTGCAAATAATATTTTATTTTGAGAACAAAAGACATTTTTCATTGTAAAATTTGTGACTTGATCAGCCTCTCACTGTGTACAGACTGCGTCATTTTTTGTGAAATGACGTCACATTGACATGTGCATTGATGCATCGTTTATATACTGTTGTGTGGGGTTTGATAAACGACAAAACTGCAAGTAATAGTAAGTTTGTATGTAGTATACAGCTATCCAGCTGTTTGAAATAGCAAAAAATTTCATTTTGTGGTATTTTGAAGACCTGATATTATGCGTGATGTCATAGTAACAATCTCCCGTACAAATTAGGCCCCGCCTCTTTACTGTAACCTTAACTGTGCTGCGCATGAATATTGTGAGAAAAATGTGTCGGTATCATTTTTCCATACATCTTTTTGCAAGATTTACCCTTTAACCTTAAGTATACAGATGAAATTTGGCCAATACCTGGCATTAGTTAGATGCTCATGTTCTTGTACATTAATACCACAGGTGTTGGACGGAAAACAAGACACACAGATGTTGTTTCTACCTTTCTCTGTAGTTCCTGTAGCAGCTCAAACAGTACGGTCTGTCTGTCCTCAGCAGTCAGTAGGTCCTCAGGACATGCAGTCAACAGAACCTCTGTCACATGACGCCACGCCTCCAGAGCCTGCTGTTTGGTGGACAGTTCCTGTCGGATTCTGTTACGTAGCACCATGTGATGCAGAATATTCTCCACTTCCTGAAAAATTTATAAAACTTTTACGTTTTGCTGAAATGTTGACAACCTTGGGGGTAGGTCAAAGAAATTAAGACAACATGAAAGAGACAGTCATCATAGAGAAGAGTGAAATCAATGGCATAAGATGACCTGCAAAGAGAGACTGTGTAGCTAGCTTTACATCACCTGACACAAAGAGGATTAAGTAAGGAAGGATATTAAATGCTTAATAATTGGGATATCGATCTCACCTCTAGAACTTGCGGTCTCTGAGTCACTATGATATCGATCTCACCTCTAAAACTCGAGGTCTCTGAGTCACTGTGATGTTGCCCTGGTAGTTGTTAAGTTCGTTCATCAGTAGGCAGTGAAGTCGTTTGACATCACAATACAAAATGTCCTGTTCGGTCCAAGTTTCTACACTTTTAATGGCTATAATTCAATCATCGACAATTTGAAAAACTCCAACTTCATTGTAGGAGGGTAACGCTGTGAAAAGTCAACTTCATACAGAAATCCTAGTAACTTCCTGCTCACTTGGCGGCCTGGAAAAGGAAAATAAAGCCTGAACAAGTGTTTATGAGCAAAAGAAGAGCAGTGTGATAATTTTTTACGTTTTTCTTTGCTTACTTCTGAACGGCCTGGCTGTCTGAGACAGATTAGATGTCTGTAGACTCTGTTCTGTAAATTTGTCAATACACCAGGTCAGCTTCAACTCCTTATGCTGGCTGTAACACTATGAGAATCATATTTCTTACTTTCTTTAGCAAATCAGACAATTTTGATTTTTTGTTATTTAATTTGACTTTACCATTTTAACCCCCTGAATACACATGGATCAAGACATTCATTAACCTCAGCTTGTGTGACTTTTGAACTTGACCTTACCTGTTTGACCTTCTGACCCATCATCCAGCAGGGCCTTCATTAACCTCAGTGTGTGTGACCTTTGACGGTTCAGTGCAGTCAGTCGCAGTTCAATGGCTATCAGCTTCAGCAACCAGGATTGGGAAATCATTACAGGGCGTTCTATAAAGGCAATTAAATATTAAATAATAAACAAATTTTGACTAGTTTCTCTATTAAAAACATTTTTGTCACAAAATACAAAAATTCTTATTTTAATTTGAACTCACTATAAAACTGCTGAGTGAAAGGTAAATGCTGGAGCTGCCTGAACAGGAAGTCCCTGGTTGTACGTAAATATCGTAAAGTGGGCGTCGACGTCTTCTTGTTGGCAGCCAGGAGGTAGATGTGTTTGTATAGGCCAGCTCAGACAGTCATGGAGTTTCCCTCAGGCAGAGACCCACCCCCCCAGGACAGGACCGCATGTAGACAGGCTTAGGGGAACTGAGGATACCTGGTTTTATAAATATGAAAATAATATAAATACCCCTTC